AAGTTGCACCTGCAACTTCTCGAAATCTGTATTTTCGATCTGTTTCGAATACGGGGTGTTACACTGGTGTAGTAACATAAGCACAGATGCTTATGGAGCGGGGGTTTGGAGAGCTATTAGAAACTTATGGCCCAAGTTAGAAGCAAATTTACATATCAAGGTGGGGGATGGAAGGAGAACTAGATTCTGGTGGGATGTATGGATCAAACAAACCCCCCTAAAAGACCTGTTTCCTGATCTATTTATTTTGTGCACCAATTCTGAGGCAATGATCAGTGATTGCTGGACAGTACAAGGTTGGAATCTCTATTTCAGAAGACTTCTAAATGATTGGGAAATAGAGAGAGTAGCCAAATTGTTGGAGGAAGTGGGGGATTTTGTGGGCACCAATACTGACAATGATGTTGTTAGATGGTCACACAGTAAGGATGGGATCTTCACAGTTGGCAGGGCATATAAAAAGGAGTGCAACTCGCAAAGTAGCAGATACCAGTGTTCATGGAAAAATATCTGGAGGATTGCAGCACCAACAAAAGTTAAATGCTTTACTTGGCTGGTCGTTAGAACGGCATGCTTGACACATGAAGTCTTGAGGAAGAAAAGAAAGATCATACTTCCGTGGTGCTCTTTATGTGGAAAGGCGGGGGAAACTAACAGTCACCTATTCTTACATTGTACTTTCACAGCACAAATATGGTCCATGTTTCTCAACTATTTAGAAGTGAAATGGACTATGCCCAAACATACAGCTGATTTACTTAGTTGTTGGATCATGAGAGGAGGTAGCAAGAGACAGAAGACCTGGTGGAATTTGATTCCACATTGCATTTGGTGGACAGTGTGGAAGGAGAGGAATAGTAGGAATTTTGAAGATATATCCAATTCCATTCACAAGGTTAAATGGAATTGCATTGTATCTCTATATTTTTGGTGTAAAGAGATAGGATCAGAGGATTCAGATCAACTTTTAGAACTCTTAGGATCCTTGTAAGTATTATGCTTTTGTTCTTTTCTGATTTTTTAAAGGTCCCCAGCATATCCTTAATGCTGAAGAATACAATGTTTACCAATTCTCAAAAAGATATCTTATAGTATGAAACAATTTGAATTAGAGTAATAAGTTGATCACTAACTCAAAGCTAGTGAAATAGAAATAGAGAATTTAACTAAAAGGGTCATGGAGAATTGGAGATGCTGCTCGGAAAGGTTTCTTCTGGAACTTGATGTGAATAAGTTAAGGACTCCTTTATATAGAATTGGGAAGGGGACGGCGTGAAACTGTGTCCAACAAGGTGATTAATTTGTTAGTACTCCTAGAAGGAGTCTTAAATGCTAATTCTTATTGTATTAAGTATGTGATACTCTTTTTGAAAAGGTAAGTAAGCATTATATTATAAAACAAAGCAACTTGGCACTAAGAAAGTGCAAAAGCAGTACACTATCTTGAATCCCTCATAACAAACAAAAACAAAAAGGGAGGATTCCACTGTACAAAAATCTATTCTTGCAAAGTATCTATAAAATCTAGCATGCTGTGTTCATCCTGAAGATTACACCAAAAAGCCAACAACCACAAACATTTGTATTTGAGCTTTTGTACGTTATCTGTTTTCCCTTCAAAACATTTTATCATTTCTTTCCTTCCGTACAACCCAACACACACAAGCAGGTACTGTATTCCAAATCTTCTTCAATAGTTTACTAATTCCTTTGAGTGCCCAGCAGTGCAATGTCCAGCTTGAAGAATAAACCTATTCTTCCCTGTCTTCTTCTGCTGTCGAAATACTCGTTAGCCATGAAACCGCATCTGTAATTTGCCTCTTTTTAATAAATGCCATTGGAGATTTTGTAACGATAGCATTCATTACCTTCTTTAATCTTTCTGCTAGTAGTTTAGAAATGATTTTGTAGAAACTCCCCACCAGACTTATTGGTCTGAAATCCTTTATTTCCTCTACCCAGCTTTCTTAGGCATTAATGCAGTGAAAGATGCATTCAAATTTCTCTCAATATTTTCACTCTGATACAAAAAGTTCACCATAGCCATAATATTTTCCTTTACTGCAGTCCAGCAGTGCTTGTAAGATATCTTATTGAAACCATCAGGGTCCTGGAGCCTTTTCCCCTTCATCACATAAACCTTATTATCCAATGCTTGTTCAGTTAGAAACCCCAAATTTATGGCATTTCTCACTAGGATGGAAAAGATTGATTATTTGGGCTTATACAACTCTCCCTTGTTTCAATTAAGCAGATTCTCTGTTATCAAAGGATGAATGGCGAAGTTCAGTTGTCATGTTAATCTCACGTATTCTCCTGTGGTGTATTGATGTTATACCAATTCCTGCCACTAATGATGTCAGTGTACTCTGTGCAGCTTCTTTCAGTGGCAACATTTTTTGGAGCAATATTTTGCTTTGCTGCCTTTTGTTTTAAGAGCTTGTATGCCTTCATCGCTCTATTTGCAATAGGAGAATTGTTAGTATTTGCAACACAGGTAATTTATTTGATCATGTTATTTGTGTTCTCTACTCTTTTTTTGAAACTGCTTTCTGTTCTCTACCCCTTTTTAAAAAAAACTGATTTGTGTTCTCTACTTTATATCGTAGTGCTTTTAATAACAAATTCAATTTTGCTTATTTCTCAGCAGCATGCTTTCTTGCAAGGAGATTCCTTCCCCTTCCTCTTTTCCTTTGATTCTTGTGATGTTGTCTAGTGTCAGTAGATGTTGCATCTGAGATCAGAAGTCTAATTTGTTGTGAGGCAAAAATAACGATCCAGAACTATTAGAATTGTTTTGCTATGATTGGTATTGCCACTGAAGTTTTTCCTTGCTCTTGACTGGCTTTGACATTGTTACCCGTCATATCCCAATTACTTTGACATGATGGCTTAGTTGTATTTATCTAACATTCGATGACTATTAGCCAGTTCCTTACTTCTTTAACATTGTACACTACGAATGCAGGCCCCTGTAAATTATGTCTGTCTGCATTGCGTCAAACCAAGTATGAGACCATTGTCTATGGCTATGTCCACTGTTTCGATTCACATATTTGGTGATGTGCCTTCCTCTCCTCTTGTGGGGGTTCTCCAGGTTTGTTTTCTTTTGAAGTAAATATATAAGAGCTTATGTTGATGCATTATTTTTTCTAATTAAGACTGTTAAATATGGAAAAAGTTGATATTCTGTAATCATAGAAAGATTCCCAAATTCCTATAATTAGGGTTGCATATTGGTCAGTTCGATTTTGAAGCTTATTGGTTCGACCTATCAGTTATCGGTTTGTAGACAAGTTAAACCATTAAGATATTGGCTTATCGGTTATCGGTTTGTAGACAAGTTAAACCATTAAGATATTGGCTGATCGGTTATCGGTTTATTGGTTATGGATCGTTATCAGTTTAACCGTTAAAATTTGACACAAAAAATAATAATAAAAAATTCTTTGGAAACAAAGTGACAAACCAAATGAACCATGCACATGAGTTGACGAATTGCATTTTGCTCAAAAGCAAACACTGGCACATTGTAGAATAACTGAGTGTTTGAGACAACAAGAAATAAAAGTATGAAATTAAACCCTAATGTTACACCTTGTTTGGATGGTTGTTACCCGTTGTATTGTATTGTTAGTTTAAATACAATATTTGTTTTGATTGTTACTTAAATTCGTATCGTATCATTTAAATTCATCGTTAGGTAATGACGGAAAAACCATTTATGTAACAACCGATTTGGTGTGATCGCGTCATTACCTTAATATTTTCTTCTCATTTTGTCTTATTTATTATTTAATAATTATATTTCATCTTTTACCCTACCTTTTCATAGGAGCTCTACCCCGTATCATACTTTTCTTGTAGGTTTACCATTCAAACTATGGATGTGTGACATTATGTAATGACGGAGAATGATAAAATCTATCCAAACATTGTATTCATTAAAACAATACAGTACGATACAATACAGCACAATACAATACAATAGGATACATTATGAAACAATACATAACAACCATCCAAACAAATAAGTCAAGAACTTTATATACCGAATGGTGTAAATATAATTTATTAATTTACTATAGGGTTATTGGTTAACCCGTTAAGAAAAAAACTCAAACCGTTAAGAACCGATAACGATAATAAAAAAAAAATTAAAACCGTTGCCGAAACTGCTAAACCAATAACCCATTACCGATTACCCAATAAGTTTTTTCCGTTCGGTGATCCTTCCGATCATCAGACTCTCTCTCTCCACCTTTTCTTCTCTTTTACTCCTCTCTCTTCCCACCCACGAGAGAAATGGAGCACACCATCTATTTTGCAATTGGATTCAAGTCTTTTGACACTCCTTGGTCAGTAGACTCGTACGAATGGACTGAAAGAAGTAGAAATGCCATCACTAGAACATCTTTCACCAAGAAGACAATGGAATGGATTGTCCAGATTCTCTCTGAAGCTTCTAAGACAGAAGGAAAATGTAGTCAAAAGGTGGAAGAAGAAAAAAACATTGTCAGAAACCTTTTGTGCTAGGAAATTCAACAAATACGGCAGATACATTAGTCTCATTATTGTAAGGGGCAGGAGGAAGTCAGTCATCATCATCCCTGAACTGACTTTCAACTCTGTCTGGGCCTTCATTGTGGAGAAAACGAGGACATTCACTGCCAACCAAAAGGGGGAGACTGGCAGAGATAACCACAGATTAATAGACAACAAACTTCCTTTTGCTGAAGCAGTCAGATTTCAGAAACAGTAAATGGTGTAACATGGAAGAAAATAATTCAGATAACCCGCATGCCCAGTAATCTGCGTGCACACATTAGACTAATGATTCATGAGGGAGGATCCATTCTACATGTAAAACTGGAACGTGCTTCCACACATCCTTAACTTAATGTACCATGAAGATGTTCACATGATCGTAACTGATTACCGGGCATGAATCCATATGCCCATATATTCAACACGACATACATATAAGCAACGTGCATGCTAAACTAGTAGAACCTTGTAAGTCGAACACACATAAACTTAATGTTGTTCTAGCACGTACATTATACTAGCTTATACAATATGCACATTCAACAGATATAACATGTTATGCATAATGAAGTTACAATAATTTAATGGTGAGTTGTTTGCTTAGCAGTTTGATCGCATTTTTACTTGGTAGCTGAACTTGAAATAAAATTGGTCTTTCTGGACACGTTTGCTGGTTTAGCAGTTGTATGCTTTTATATCCAGGACGTGGGAAGTGATAAGGCTTCTAGTTGGGATGTGGGAAGTTCTCACCTATTCTCTGTATCAAGACTAGATTTTCCAGACTTAACTTCCAGCAAACAACATAACGCTTTCTTATACGCAGCTATGTATATTTCCAAAAGAAAAGAAAATGCCATGATGCTGATATTTGGCTGCTAAGTTTCTTTTCAATGGAGAAAATTGATTGACCAACTCTACCTCTTAAATATCCTATGCCAAAAAAGGCTACTACTTTTAGAGAATACAAGCTAAGGAGCCTAAAACCAGAAAACATACATCTTTTATTTGCTAGTTTTGAAGTTCTTACTTTAAGATAGATGCTAAATATTTGTTTTATCCCAAAATTCAATATTTGATACATGAAAATAGCAACTATTTTAGGAGAAGTTGTTCCAATAATTAGATGTGTTCCCTGTATCCCAGCAGGATGATCCTTTTCCCTTCCTATTAAAGCAATGAAATGATAAAACAGGGTTGACTACGTGTTAATTAGTTTTGATAAGGGGTTCACATATGAAACAAGGTCCCCCATTCCCTTTAGTAAATGATAATAATGTCCGGACAAATTTTGATATTTATGTACTGACAGTATTATTGATTAAGAAATCAATTACAAGTAACTATATACATAGTCAATGTGGATTGGCGACATAGAAAAGATGACTAGTGTGTGTTGATTGAACCATAAATTCTTTCTCTGTCGGAGAACTTGAACACTAAATTATTTAGTTGATCATGGTTATCTTACAGTTGATTCAATGGTACAATCCTCGAGGTTAACATTTTCTTTTCACAGGATCACATTAGTAATTGGAGAGTTACTGCTCTAATCCTCACATCGGTTCTGTTTCTGGCGTCTGGAATATGGTTTATAGGTAAAGTTTTCCAACGAAATTTATATCCATCCAAATGTGATTGAAGATTAAATGTTTCATTTATTTGTACATGCAGGGATCTTTCTTCATAGTGTTGATAGATTTAATGAAGAAAATGACCTTCAAGTTAGTGTTACTGACAGATCAAACACAATTCCACTACTTGGGGAGACAACTCAGTCTTTGATAAATCTTTGATTTTCTCTTTTATCATTTTCTTTTGGGACTTGCAAAATTGCTATGTAATTTCTTTGATACTTATCTATCTTGTGTTTAGATTCTGTTTATGCATCAAGGGAAGCTTGTTGTCTCTCTCTAGTGCAGTTAAACCAAACCTGGTGGCGAAAAGGACCACAATTTGGCTCAAATCTTTTCTACTTTGTTGAAGAAAAAAAAATAGGGTAAATTACATAAATCTCATAGTTTTAATATGAAATTACAATCTATCCCTAATAAGTTTCTAATTACATTAATCCCTTAAAAATTAAAAAAATCGGATACAATAATTGAAGCTCGGATACATTAAAGAAATAAGGGATTTTGGAGATTTTTAAAAGTAATAGGAGATGATGGAAATAAGTGAAACAAAAGGTGTATTTCTGTAATTTGTCCAAAATAATATTAATATTTTCGAATCTAGGAAAATCTCATAACTACAAGCGTATAAGACGAATTGCATTTATTAGCAATCTCAATTATTACAATTGCCACCAAAAGTAAATTCATATGATAAATACCAAAAATTATCTCTGGTGAAATCAATCAAATCCAATTTAAAACAGTAACCCAAGTATACTGCAACATCCCTAAAATTATAGTAATAGAATGGAAATCATACAAAGAGGGTGCTTTATTATTATTAGTTTTTTAATTATTCTTTTTAAGTATAATTTTTAGGAATCCCATAATGTAAGGAGCAAACTACATCCTATCCCTACCATTTTCTAATTTACAAAAATCCCTTCAAATTTGAGCCATCCGGATACACCCCTTTCGTCTAGATACATAACAGACAGTTGATACATTAGAAAACTTGTTTCGTGAGATTAAAATAAAAATTAAACGTAAAATTAAATATCAAACACACAAATCACGCCAATCAAGTTTATGCAATTTCTTCCAAATCATAACAACTAGGGGTGGGCATAAACACCGAAAAATCGAACCGAACCAAATTATTTCGGTATTTCGGTTTTCGATATTCGGTATACATTTTTGTATTTTTTGGTATTTCGATTCGGTTTTCGATATGTAATTTTTGTGTTATTCGGTATTTCGGTTTACCGAAATATATTATATTATAATATATATTAATATTATATTAATTATTAATATTAAATATAATTTAAAATAAAAAACAAAAGTAGGTCAAATCAAAAGTTACTTTTGTTACTTTTCTGTTTTCCACTTTACAGTTCCCAAAGGCCCAAAAGTGACCATCCCTCTTCCCACGTTCCATGTCCACAGACTACAGCAGCAGCGACTGAGTTCCGGCGACCAACAGTAGCATGCAACAACTGCCAGTCGACCAGCAGACAGCCACAACACAGCAGCCGACCTTTTCAGTTTCCACACAGCCAGGCGCCAGCCATGAGGCGACCATCGACCACTTTCCACTTCCGCCGACCACCATAGGTATTGTATTTCTTCTTCCATTTTAGGTTATCAAGTTTCAAAATGAATATTTCTTCTTTCATTTATTTTTCTTTTTTATTTTTGCTTTTGTTACTAGTTAGTGTGTGAATTTATTGTGAAATAATTTTTTCGAAATAACATAAACCGAACCGAAATAATATAAATTGAACCGAAATAAAAAAAAAGAATCGAACCGAATTATTTTGGTTTGATATTCGGTACACGTTGTACAAGAATCAAAAATAAAAAAAAAAACCCGAAATCGAACCGAAATACCGAATGCCCAGCCCTAATAACAACTTCAATTTCAAATTTTTCTTCTCTTAGATCTCTCCCAAATTGTGACAAATTGAAAAAAAAGGTATCAGAAAAAGATTAACAACAAAAAATCAACCAGTTGCTTTATCAATGTTGTGTCATATACATAACTATGAATATGATACAAACTAATATTATTATAACAATATTAGTGTTTCTGTATCTACAATAATATTTGATAATTTCTACAGATACATAACATTCTAGATGAATAAGTTTGGGTGTATGTATCTGGTAGTAAAAGATAATGAAATTTGTAATAGTTATATATCAAATATTTAACTATGAGCATGATATTACTAATTTGTGTTTCAATAAATTAAGTATATGTATCAAACCTAATATTTGAACATGATACATTGTGCATAATGTATCATAATGTTCAAATGAAAGCATTATACATTAATTTAAGAAACAAAAAACAACTAGACACATTAAAAATATGAACACATATGTATCAGAAAAAGATAAACAACAAATCGAAAGAAATCAACAATCTGATCTGCTGAAAGCAAAAAAATAAAAAATGATGAAAAAGTCCTTCTACACTTTCTCCTTTGCTATGTATCAACTCCCATAGATTTTTTCACTTTCAACAATGGCCTCACCCATGAATCTCGACCCAAAGTCCTTACCGGAGCCACCAACAACTTGACCTTTTCCCTCCTTTTTTGGGCAATTTTTCCACAGTCAATTTTGAATTCGAAGATGAATCCTTCTTCGACTAATTGGGTAATCACAATACTAAAAAAATAGAGCATCATCAATATAATATATACTACAAAAAACGCGCGCATTAGCCACGCCCAGAACCATGGTTAAATGGTGCCTGAACCATGGCTAAAACACTTTGGCCACAGTAGGTTGTCCACGGTTGGTAGTGTGCCCATAACGGGCGTCGCGAGTATATTTGTCACGGTTTGTACACTCGTGATAACATTTATTTAGCCACGGTTGACATATTATTTAGCCACGCTCAATTCGTAGGTAAAGTTAACTGCCTGAAAATAATATATTTCTAATTTCTAATTAGCTATGCAAGAACCATGGCTAATAAAGAGTAGGTATTTGTATATTTTTAAATTAATTTTATAGATTAGCCACAGATGAACCGTGGCGATAGTGTACAATTGTTTTTTTAAAAACAAATACAATTAATTCCCTACAATAACCTGGTACTAATCCACTGATAAATACACAAATCATTACTTTAATGATGTATTCATCATATATTAAAACAAAAGATATGTTTCATCATAAAAGATAGCAAAAGTATATATTGCTAATTAATGTAATCAAAATGCAAAAAGTTGAAGCTACATCATATATATATATATATAAACTAAGAAGAATCTATATTGAAAGTAGGCAATTCACTACCAAATTTGGCCTGTAAAAACCTATGAAGAGTTGCCAAGTGATCCTCATTTTGCGCAAGTCGTTTCTTAGTTTCCTCAAGCTTTTCCTTGGTCTCATCAAGTTTTTCTATGGTCTCTTCATATCCGGTCAGCTTCTCTTCCAAAATTTCTACATGTTTCTCTAGATCTTCAACACATTGATGAGACATATTATTGGAACTACCGACATTTGCATGACTAATTGAATGTCTAGGCATCCCAAAAGCAGTTGAAGGACAAACATTACCACCTATACCACGCACACGACCAGAATGTTCAACTCCATACACTTTTCCAATGGCGTCATTAAGATGGGCCAATATCTTCAACGGAACACCTAAAGTAGCAACATGTTCTTGATCTTCAGGTAGATGCTCCAATATTTTATCCTACAAATAAAATAGAAGACATGAGAGAGGAATACCAACATTGTTAATAATGAACTGTTAATCAACTCATTAGCAAGTACTGTAAAACTAAAGCATCTACTGTCTATACCAAGACTGTCACCAAAATAGACGAGTATTTCAAACTTACAGCTAAAATCTTCCCCTCTTCATTCACATAATTACCATTCTTTTTCAATAAAGTTGGCAATACAACTTCACTTCGGCACACCGGCCTTCCCAATTTTGTTCCTATCATTAATCAAGTACATATAAAAATAAGTAACAACCAATTCATTTTATTTTGTATAATAAAGTGGTTCTTAAATAAACTTCAATGTAAAGAAACTTACCATTTGACGACCTCTCCTTGCATTGCTTTTACTACCACCGGCATGCGAGACTTTAAATTTTGTTCTATTCCTCGTATTTTATGCACTTTGTGTCTGCAATAATCAAACATTGATTTCATATGTATAGACACAAAGTAGCAAATTTATACATTAAAGTAGAGATAGATTGCAATAAAAATTTGAATAGCTATTTAAAAGTAATTAAGGCAATAATTTTTTACCAAACATATAACATTAGTTATCTCAAAGAGCTGTCATAGTTTGGCCAAAAAGTATAGCAACAAGTTAGCTCTAATCTGCCAAAATGCAACAAGAGTTTGAGCCCAAATGCAGAAACAATTGGCTCAAAGACATGCAGTTATTTTTCTCAAAATATAACATCAATTTCACTCAAATTTACCCCCAAAAAAAGCAATAGTTCTGCTAAAAATATGACAGCAGTTTCACTCGGATTTGACCAAAAAATAAGAGATACTTCAAGTACTAAGGAGCGAGTATTTTACGTTAATTCAACTACCATAATGCAACTTTGTTCCAATTTAATTCTTGATCGTTTTGAGCGAGAGAGAGTCCTCTCTAAAGAAAAAAGAGAGAGTACCCAGACTCCTCTTCAATACAGCTAATGCACCCTTCTAACTAAGAGAATAATTTCCTTTCCTTCAATACCACACCCATCGTTTATCAAAACATCAATGTACTTAGCATATGAACCAAACCTTTACGAACCCCAAAAATGAACAAACACTAAACAATAATAAAGAACAACATAAAAGGAAAACTGACCAAGAGATTAGGAACAATGACATTGACATGATAAATATGAAAAAATAGGGAAAAAATAGGGCAAAATCTAACGAGAAATCATGTCACAATCAAGGATAACATGGAAAAGTTAGACCCGTAGACGAAACTGAAAATTCATTGATGATAACTTCATCTCCCTAAGCTCTACACTAGCAAGCACGAATTTATAAAAACTGCTCAAATTCCCTTATAGTCAAAGTTTTAGGAAGAAGAGTGGGATACCAATTTCTACAACAAAAACTAATAGCTATTTGCAAACCCACAGAAAACTTATCTCTTATAGACCTAGGATATAACTACTATTTAGTAAAGAAGACAATTACAGTAAAGCTTTACATCGAGGACTATGGTTTATAGGAAGCCAATTCTAACAGTAAGGAGATGAGGGTCAAAATTTGTAGCTTCTAGAGCATCTTTAACGTACTCTGCCATCTGGCCAGATTACCCCTCCAAAAACTTGAAAAACAAACCAATTTTTATTCCGAGTAAAAAAATCCATATAAACACATACATATCCTAAAACAAATACATATAAACACATATAGATCCTAAAACAAATAATCCAAAGAACTCCAATCATTTGGAAAACATAAAAAAAGAGGGGAAAAAGGGTGAGACCACTAATGAGACATCACATGAGATTCCAATCCACAGGGGGAAATGTATGGGTGAGGGAACCAAAAGATCAAGTATTATGAGGCCAAAAGATTGAAAAAATGAACAGTCATTCAAAGAGTGTGGCTCCACATAACAATGCACAAGTAAAGTTCAAAAAGTACCTACAACTAGTAAATTCAAAGCCTGGAGAACCACAAAGTAAAATACCAGTGAGATGTGCTAACAACAAATGGTATTAAGTGAAGCTAAAAGCTCAAATTACCTTCATCTTATCTTCTTTATAGTGATGAACAAAATCAGTCCAATCATTAGAATCCACGTTTGCCGGACGATTAGCAAGTATCTCTTCCTTACGTTTGTTAGGATAAAAGTGGTCACATCTTAACTTATATTTATAGGCCCTCCATCTATCGCGTAAAGAATACATCACCCATTTAATTCCAACAGCATAATCAAACTCGAAATTCTCCTTCAAATATTTTATATTCATAAATTCAGTATCTAATGAAAAAATACATTAATTGAACTTGAATGAATGCATCTAATTACCTCAATAAGCTGCCACTGAAGGCGTGTTTTTGCCTCTGGCATCCTATCCCATCTCTCAACTGATATGAGACAAAATACTGACTTTTGAGAAAGTTTGCCAAGAAATTTCACAAGTAAGTTTGAACCATTATCACTTCCTTGTCCATCTCCGTTGAGTTCCACCATGATTTTTTGATTTTTTTTCAAATTCCAAACTCGATCTGGTTGCATCTTTTGAGTTGTAACTTCTCCAGTCGAAGTATCTATTATTGTAACAAACGAACAACATTAAACAGAAGAAATACTAATAAAACTTATGAAGTTTGAAGAAGAAGCTGGAAACAGGAACTCTTGTATAGATCGATCACCTAATTTGGCAAAACAAATGTTAGTTTGATTGTCAATAAATAAATAATAACAGAAAATGATAGAGAATAAGAAACGACTCCAACATGAAATTATTTCTAACCTTTAATCTTGACAACTAAGGGCTCCTCTTTTTCTTATGTGTTGGCTTCATTAGAGCTTGAAGAAGAATTTAAGTTGTTACCACTAAGTGTAGGAGTTATTGTGTTCTCATTTTCATGTTGGTCATCTTGTTGATCTCCATTAACTTGTTGCTGCAAATCTTGAATGCTTATATTATCAGCTTGTTGTCCTCGTAAGCTTGCTAACAGTTCTTGTGCTGACTTGTTGCGTTTTTGCTTCATATGGAACTTATCCTGTAGAGATTACTTTAAAGAAATATAAATCATATAAGTTACTTACAACCTCCTCAACCCAACTATTTTGTACACATACCAGTAAAAAGCTTTCTCGTGATTCACAAGACGATGCAATTCATTAAAATGTAAATTTTCATTTTCAGTCACTAGCAAGCAAGACAGGCAAACATCCATACAATAGATTATGCAAAATATCTAACAAGTAGATAAACAAACTAAAGATGCAAAACACACAATTAATTAAAACAAACCAAGTAACATAGACTATTAGTTGTAATTCTTCAATTTCATAATAGGGGAATTAAACTAATCTCGCATTCTATCACCATCGCAATCGCTGTCGCTATCATCATCATCATCTTTATCATTGTCACCATCATCATCTTCTTCATCACTATCACCATCATCATTGATAGAATCACCTTGTTCTTGTTCATCCTGATCAACTCAAACTAAAGGTAAGTCTTCAATATCTTCCAAATGTTGCTCACAAAAAGGTATGTCCTCCATTGGTGGCTCCTCTAAATCTACAAAATCCACATCTCCCATATCATATATGTCTCTCGGCTTCATATGACAAACACAACACCAATCTTCATCAATTAGATCATCAACATAGTATACCATTCTAGCATCAGTTGCAAGTATAAATGGTTAATATGTTTCTTTTACACCTCTGTGTATCAAACGGGAAAAGTTTACACTTGTAATTCCAAATTGATCTATCTTGATTCCCTTGTTAAGTGTAGTGTCTACCCATAGACATTTGAATAATACAACCTTTAACTTGCCGTAATAATTTAACTCTATGATGTCAACCAGTTTACCATAGTACATATCATCACTTAACAGTTCAATAGATTCTCTCCCACTTGAAAATCTTTTGGTAACAACAGACATAACAACACCACTATTTTGTGTTTTCAATCCTTGCTACTTCCACATAACTTAAATTCATGAATGTTATATTCTTTGAATCTCCTCACAACATTATTTGGCCCATTTGCAAGCACTTCGATTTCTGATGTAATCTCCACATCATTCTGACTTGCAACCTTTGTTATAAAATATGTTAGGACAGCAATATAAAATTGTAAGATTTTGAGTTTTAATGGGAGTGAAATGTTTGGAATCTTACATATTCCTTAAACCACTCGTGAAAATGTTTGTGTACATATTCTTCCACAAGTTTTGAGGAGTTTCTTTTTCCACGATACATCCTAGTGACCTCAATTCTAAACTTCCTGAATGTATTTATAAATCATATATTAAGGTATAAAATATATTAGATTAAGAAAATGAATAATATGTAAGATCTTATAACTTACTCTCGAAATGCATAAACTATTTCACAATTAGCTAACACATCGGTGATCTTGTATGATTTCCACAGAAGATATGGATAGAGTCTTAATAGCCCCAATGGGCTTGCCTGATGCAGGAAACAAATTTGACAAGATAGTAGATTTGCTACTAGCATTAATTTCATTGGCATCATCATTACGCCTTGGTCGATTAAACCTTGTTTCAATATTAGTATCTTCAAAATATTGAGAACATTTAGTAAGGTTTTCCTCTGTAAGGCATCCTTCAGCTATACAACCTTCTACAGCGGAATTATTATGAACATAAGATTTAAAATGACCCATTCTCCTAACAAAAGATGAAACAAATCGTAAGATTACTTTAAAAAATACATATATCAACTTACTAAGCAAATAATATACCTTTCAACAGGGTACATCCAATGACCTTGTACAGGACCCACAAGAATTGCTTCCTCTCCAATATGAATGACCAGGTGAAACATAATAGTGAAAAATGATGGAGGAAAAATTGCTTCCATATTAGCAGGATTTAACCAAATTCGTTGTTGGAGATTCTCTACATGCTTAACATCCAAAACCTTGCTTGATATTTCTCTAAAGTATTTACATAACTTAATCAACACTGAAGTAACTTCTTTAGGAAGAGCTCTTCTACAAGCAATTGGCAAAAGATGCTCCATCAAAATATGGGAATCATGACTCTTTAAATTAGAGATCTTGCGTTTCTTAACATCAACGCATCTAGAAATATTTGATGCATAATTATCTGGAAACACCACATTATTTAAAACTTTTAGAAAGATATCTTTCTTATCTTTCTTCATGTTAAAGCATGATGGAGGAAACTTGGAAGAATTAGGATATGGATGAAGCTTTTCTCTAATTCCCATCACTTGCAAGTCTTTACGAGCTTGCAAATTGTCTTTTGATTTTTTTTTTTTGTCACCAAGTATAGTATACAATACATTATCACAAACATTCTTCTCCACATGCATCAGGTCAAGGCAATGCCGAATAAGATGGTTCTTCCAATAAGGTAAAGACCAAAAGATACTTTTTTTCTTCCATTGTTTTGGGCCAACCTTACTTGTACCATCATCACAAGGCCTCTTCCGACTCTCCTCAATTTGACTTAGCAAGGTTAAACCTGATGGTGGAGTAGGCGCAGGTCTATGCTCCTCAAAACCATTAAAAGACTTTTTGTTGTATCTATATTTGTGATCATGTGGAAAAAATCGACGAGGTCCCATAAAGCAATTTTTTCTACCAAACCTTAGCCACATAGAATCTGTTTCATAATTACATGATGGACAAGCAAGTAATGTATGTGTATTCCACCCAGACAAGCTGTCAAGACCTGGAAAATCACTTATGGTCCATATCAATGCAACACGCAATTGAAACATTTCCTTAGTTGAGGAATAATAAGCATTTACACCACCCCACAACTGTTTTAACTCAGCAATTAAAGGTTGCAAGTAAATGTCAATGTTATTTCCAGGCATTTTAGGACCTGGAATTATCATCGACATGATAAGAGAAGATTGCTTCATAAAACACCATGGAGGATAATTATAAATATACAACATCACAGGCCAAATGCTTACACTGGAACTTAGATTTCCAAATGGATTGAAACCATCTATAGCTAAAGCAAGTCGCACATTATGAGTCTCCGAAGCAAAGTCTGGATAGAATGAATCAAAATGTTTCCACGCTTTGTCATCTCTTGGATGTCATAATAACCTATCTAGATTAGCTTCTGTAGCATGCCACTTCAAGAGTTCTGCTGTTTTAGAGCACATGCATAGCCTTTTCAGCCTAGGTATAAGTGAAAAGTACCGCAACACTTTTGCTGGCTTTGGTTTCTTTCTATGTTGGTCATCAATTACAACATTTGCACCAATATCATTTTCATTTGACATATACCTGGAAGTATTACAGACCTTGCATTTATCTCTACTCTCATCCTCTGATGATCCCTAATATAACATACAATGGTTCGGACATGCATCAATCTTATCGTAGCCCAAATCTAACTTCTTAATCATCTTTTTGGACTCATAAAATGATGATGGTAGTCTTGCATGGGGAAAAGCATCTTTTAAAAGATCAAGAATCATTGAAAATATTTTCTCTGTTGCACCACATAAGACCTTAATATGATAAAAACGAACAATGAATGACAACTTACTATATTTTGTACAACCAACATAAAGTTCTTGATTCCCATCCTCCAACAACTTCTTAATTTTCTCTCTCTCTTCTTGACTCCTACCTTCAAAACCTCTAGAATTATCATTATTTGGTAGATTTGATGGACCAGAATCTTGAAATTCATTATTGTCAAAGACACCAAAAATATCATTCAACATATCATTCATAGGATATTGTCTAGCCAACTCATTTTGTATTCGGGATGTTGATTCTACACTGGATTGAGCATGTTTTTCTCCATGCATATGCCAACATCTGTACTTTTTTGGAAACCCCTTATGAAGCAGATGAATAAACACTTCAGCTCTATTGCGCATAACAGAAAATCCACATATAATACAAGGACATAAATTTTTTCCATCAATAGATGCATTTGAAAAGGCAAATTCCAAAAATTGAACTACACCATCCGAGAATTCTTTCGATTTAATTGGACTCTCAATCCAACTCTTGTCAATCATGTTGGAATGAAGTTGTTTAACATACAAACAAACAAAAATACGACAGAATCTTGCAACCTATCACAAATTTACAAAAATGAGAAGCATAATTCATCTGATTAGATAAAAATTAAATAGAAACACAAAATTTCAAGCCCTTAAAAGAGTCAATCAACTGAAAAATAGATAATCTTTTATCCAAATTCAACAAAATCATATTCTAAATCTAAAAATCTACCATAATCCATATAAATACACATCACTCGCCTCATCAAAGTGTGTAAAATCAGAGAGAAAAAGTTGTGATTTATTTAAACTTTTCTCCACAAATTTGTCACCTCTCCCATTAGGGTAAAGAAAAAATTGAAATAAACAGAAAAAAAAATTAATAAGACAACCGAGGTTTGCAAAATCTGTCTACCTAGACTCGAGGTTTCTACCTGCACCCAAATAGGCGAACCAATCATTTTTGGCTGTCGCTATTTGTTTTTGGAAAAGACGAACTATTTTGAGAATTTGGGGGAAGTATTGGGATGTGTTGCTGCTACTACTTTGTTTTCCTTTTTTTGGTAAATATTAAATTATTGGAATTAATGGGGGGGAATGAAAAAAAGGAGGGAGATTATACCCGCGTGATTTTACCACGATATTTTAGCCACATTTTTTAATACGTAGGAAAAAATATATGCTAATGTTAATTTAGCCACAGTTCACACAACCGTGGCTAAATAACCGTGGGAAATAAGCGTATTTTTGGTAGTATATGCATCAGAAATTTGTAGATGAAAA